ATTTCTCTCACAGGAGATTGTTGTGAGGCTTGGGAAAGAGTAAGTGCCACATATGCTTTCCTTGGAGGAAAGGTGAGATAAAAGTGCAATAAAATACACCAATAAGGTGAATGTCCTCCTTTTGGAACATTAGCATCAACCTTGGAAGAAGTGAAACTTCAAGTGGACCCACTCCAGAGTCCCCCACTCTGGACAGACCTATCAAATGCCCTTCAGATCTCCTCTGTGTCATAGTAGTAATAATAACAAAAAACTACAAACAGCCCAACAGCTGGTGTCCAGAGAGTATCCGGCTGTTCAAAATAACTTCTCATTGTTGTGCTGTGTGTTTCTCACCTACGCGTTGCATCCGCCAGCTGGATTTCACCTAATGCACCGAATTTCCTGAAGCTGCCTTTACAAAGTAGCTGCCTTTCATGTGATGGATAGGGTACCGAATTCTAATTGAGGTCCTGAAGGATTTCTGTAATGTATATAATACATGATGGCTAGCGCAGTAATGGACTGTGTCTACATCTCCGTCGTTATTGTAGTAATGCAATGCCAAAGTTACATTCAATCAGTGAACAGAAGGATATGACAGACCTTCCCATTTTGTTTCAGGAAATCACAATGCTGCCATTGCTTTTTAAATTTAATTTATTCATTGCCCTTCATATACATTGCAAGGTGATTTACAACCATACAACCATACAACTAAAACTAAGTTTAAAAAACACATGCACCAACACAAACCAAGGCAGATATCTACTTCTTCTTTTTACTCCAGCTGGGGAAGCTTGTCAAAACAAGAATGTATTCAATTGTTTCCAGAAACTACAAATAGGGGGCACCTGTCGTATCTCAACAGGAATGCTGTTCTGCAAAATAGAAGTTTGGCAGACGTATGTTATCATAGTACACCATCAGTTTATATGAAGCTTTACTGTAAGCAAACCTAAGTCCTCAAAGGCTCCAGAAATTCAGGGGGTTGTGGGGAGGGGATGGCAAAGGACACACAGAAGTGGAAGAAACTGGGAAGTCAATGATACCAAGGGGTGAACCAGCTTTTGTGCACATTCACCTTTGTTGTCTTTAACTCTGCCTTCCCTTCCTCCCCTCGCTAAAAATTTAGACTGAAAAATCTTTGGAGCACAGAGCTGCCTTTTGCTGAACTTTGTGGTTACCAGTCACGATGGCTCTCTTCTACCTCCGTTGTGAGAGGCATACAACCCAAGACAGTCAGAGGCAGTGTGTCTCTGAATGCCAGTTACTGGAACCACAAGCAAGGGGAGTTCTGTTGTGCTCAGATCCTTCTTGCAGTCTTCCCACAGACATCTGGTTGGCCACGGTAACAACAGGATGCTGGAGTAGATGGACCAATGGCTTGATCCAGCAGAATGTTCTTCTTACATTCTGCCAAACACCACGTACTTTTACATATAAATGTAAAACCACGGATGGAGAGCCTGCAACCCTCCAAGTGTTATTGAACTACGATTGCAGCAGAGGTGCACTCCAGCAACAACTGGGGGGCCACAGGTTCCCCATCCCTCCTGTTCATAGCCATGAATATTGAATGTGCTTGCTTCCATCTGTTTCGGATTCTTTTTAGCTGGAGGTGAGATTTCTGTTCGCACCTGTAAAATGAAAATGGCAGTGGTTGTGTGGATGAATGTAGGAAAGTACTTTGAACTTTCAACCTCCTTAATGGCAGACATCTTGCATGAACATTAGCTGTTTGCAGAGTTCCCATAGGCATCTGACTGACCACAGGGAGAACAGGGTGCTGAACTCCATGAGTCTTTGGTTAGATCCAGGAGAGCTGGAGAAAATTTTAGACGTTAGTTAGTAAAGTATCCTTAGAAGCTCTACAGCAGCCTTTCTCAACCTGTGGGTCCCCAGATGTTGTTGTCCAACAATGTCTGGGGACCCACAGGTTGAGAACCGCTGCTCTACAGAGTAAGGTGCCCCACTCTCCCTTTCATGTGCTTTTGGATACTTGGCGGTAAGTGTGCTGGTCCCGGGGGCTAAGCGAGAGGCGAGGTCCAAGTCCAGTCCAAGGTCGATGGTGCGGTATGGAGGCTGTCCATCAAAGCTGTAGCTGAGTCCAAGACGGGGAGTCGGATGGGGCCAGGAACTCTGGCAGAAGAGCAGGACAGGGTGCAGGCAGGAACAGGCTAGCAACAACATTGCTCCTGCAACCTGGGACTGGGGCTGACTGGCTTTTATCTGCCCCGAGGCATAGGGCGGCCCCGGTCCACAGGTGACTCGCCTCTCCTGGCCTGGAGGCGAGCACTCATCCTGCAGGAACTTAGTTCCCTCCGCCTCTCTGCCCTGAGCCTCTGCAGCTCAGGAGAGGCTGGAGAGTTACCGGACCCAGAGGCAACCTCCTATTCCCCTGATGGGGCTGAGAGTGGAGCACCTGCAGGCAGTGGGTCCTCCATCACCTCAGGGGCCAGAGCAGACTCAGCTGGTGCCTGCACCTGAGGATCCAGCACAGGTGAGGACCCTTCAGGCTCAGGCCCCAGCCCCGGCTCAGCTGGTTCTGGAGGCGGGGACTCCTGTGCAGGCTGGGATTCCTCAGGTTCAGCCTCTGAGTCCGAATCCCAGGCCATCACAGTAAGAATCTGTCAATTTCAATTTCTAGCTTGGTCGCCATCGGCAATTAGAAATTCCACACAAACATGGTGGAAGAGAGAAACCAAGTGGGTGCTAGAAGAGGGGAAGCCTCTCTGCTCTCCCACAAGAGAAATGAAGCTCCCTACCCATCTTCTGCCAACCTCCAAGAAGCTAGTAAAAAACAAACAAACACCGGACAGGTAACTTTTGAGGGCTGTTTTACAACGCTGCCTTATCTGTTCGGCCACTTACCTTGCTGGTACAGTGATAAGAAGGACAAGAAGGACAAGGATTCTGTGCCATTCACAGCTTTTCCTAATGGCCATAACATAGCCATCCCTTTCCACAACAGACCACGTGAAGAGGTGTGGATTGCACCACCTTCTTACATGCTTGTCAGAAGAAGACAATTTTCAGGGTGCCCCTAAAATAGATGCAGTAAATAAAGTGGCACTTGGCAAAACATCCCCATCATAACTAACACCTCATTTCACATTACCATCTTGTCACTTATGAATAATAATATAGTATATTTTTAAAAAATCTAATTTGTGTGAAGAATGATGATACAGGGAACCAAGAGTGATGACAGGTGCACTTTCTTGCAAGCAAAGAAGCCAAGCTTGATTGCAGCAGACTGATGGTGCAAACTCAGCAAGAGAAGAGCAGAAATTAGTCCAGACTCCCTTACGTGCCAGAGGATCAAAGAAACTTAGTTGAGGAGCCTCAGGGATAAGGCCAGGGCGGTCTGAGAATGAATGGAAGTAGAAGGTTGCTCCAACAATTGGCTATGCCTGCCCAGCACGCTTTGGAACAGAGGTGAGGGAGGTCTCTCTGGGTCATGTGACTCGTGCAGGAACATGGCCCTGAAAGACGCACCTCCTGGTTTTCTCCCGAAACATGTTGGAGGGTATGCCTGTTCTATCAAGCCATGGGCTCTTACTGAGGGGGCTGAGTCTGCTCCTGCCTCTTGATGTGCTGCCATTGCTTCAGAGACAATGCCTGACTTTGCCTGGTGGAAAAGTGGTCTCCTTGGGATTGCCCTGATCTCCTCACCCTGAGAAAAGGCAGGAGGACCGGAAAGACTTCACAATGAAGTCTCAGTTCCAAATTGGGAGCTTGAGTGGGAAGGTTCTGATCTCTTCCACTACCGTGGTATCCTCATCAAAGTCATGGGAGGACACTGATCTGTCAGTGATTTCCCTTAGTTCTCTGCCTTCTGATGTTAACTAGATTCAGCTTGTATCGAGCTTTACTGTATCTTCATAACTCACATTTTTATGCTGTGAGCTGCCCTGAGATCTTTGGATGAAGAGAGATATATAAATATAATGCATAAAATAAATAAATAAAAATAATAAATGTTTTGACATTTTCCATCGGGATGTTCTACATCGGGGTCAGCAACCTTTTTCAGCCGTGGGCCAGTCCCTCAGACCATGTGGTGGGCCGGACTATATTTTGAGGGGAGAAATGAACAAATTCCTATGCCCCACAAGTAACCCAGAGATTCATTTTCAATAAAAGGACACATTCTACTCATGTAAAAACACACTGATTCCCAGACTGTCTGCAGGCCAGATTGAGAAGGCGATTGGGCCACATCCGGCCCCTGGGCCTTAGGTTGCCTACCCCTGTTCTACATCTTTTGAAATCGGTTTAGATTATTATTTTATTATTTTGAGAAGTTTTAAAATGTGATTTTATTTTATTTTAAATTCTATTGTTTCAACTTTTTGATGTTTGCCTCCCTGGGCTCCTTTTGGGTGGAAGGGCAGGATAAAGATTTAATTTATGAATAAATATGGGGACCTGTTTCTGAATTGTTACCCTAGATCAGACGTCAACTTGCCTGTAGGTCTACCAGCTTCATTCCAATGGAGTAGAGCATCAGCAGAAGTCCTCAGCACAGTCGCAAGAGGATGTCAAGGTAGTCATGTCTTCAGATACCTCTGAGTCCACGTTTTGCAAGCAGAAGCAAGAGGAGTCTTCTCACTGGCATGGAGATAAATCTTCCCAGGGAACTCAGCTCTGAAATATTTTTTTTTAGCAGCAGACCGAGTCTTGGAATGGGTGAAACATTAATAGATAAAAGTGTCTCTGGACATGTGCAGAGATCTCTTTCTCTGGTACTGAGTAGATGAAACATGTTCTGCCATAGCAAGGGCTAAAGAGAAGAGCCCTCTCAATTTTTAAATTAAGCATTTTGCAGCAACAGTGGCTGACTCCTTAGCAAAGGATTTCAGTACTCTGGGATATGGAAGCAAGAGAAGCTCTCCGATGTGGCTCTGTCTGGTGCAACATTCTGTTGCAGTTCAGCGAGCCAGACCCCACCCTCCACCCTGACACACAAACACACATGCACAAAACAGGCCACTACCTCTTTAAAATATTGCAGGCACAGCCGGTGCAGTGTGCTGGACCATGTGATAGCTTGAAAGGCGGTTAGAAGCTGCAGGAGAGGAGACTTGGGGATGAGAGCTGCCTGCCTGCCTGCATCAGAGTTAAGAATACACTGCAGTGAATCAAGTGCTCCTTCCAATCAGGGGAGTAAAAGTTCATGCCGTAGGGAGAGCAGGGCAGATTTCATTCATCTGCAGGATGCCAGGAGCCACGGGGATCTAACGGAGCCATCCGAGAGCAGAATGGTACCTACGCTCCCACAGCCTGCCTGCCCTGGGTGTGAAGTCTTCACTTGGAGGAGGAAACAGTAACACAGACTGGAATCTGTGTAGGAGAAAGTGAGTCTGAATCTTGTACTTCCTTGCAGGTTTGGGTCTCTCTCTCTTTGATCACATTGGGCAGGGTTATTTCTGCTACGCGTTTATTGAAGTGGTGGGGTTTAATCTAGAGGCAGGGAAATGTTCAAGAGCAGCAGAGGGAGGTGTATCATTTGAAGGGGAAATCACGGTGAGGAAGGACTGCCTTTGTTACAGAAATCAGGTCTAAGCATGACAAATATTTGCCTGGAATCTGCTGTACATTTTGGATTCGGGGGTGGGCAGTTCGGAGAGAGTAAGAAATTCCAGGAGGAGAGAAAAGTGAGATTAAAGGGGAGAGGAGGGCTGGAGATAGTCAGAGGTCAGAGGGGTGAGGGTCAGGAAAACGTATGGCTATAGAGATCAGGACGTTATTTCTCAAGTAAGCTTCTCCTCTCTGCTTCACAGAAATTTCACATGCCACTGTCCCTTGAAATGCTACCAATCTTGTTCTTTCCAAATGAAATCTATTTTCTCCTGAAAAAAATCAAAATAGAAACAAAACAAAACAAGAGAGAGAGAGTATTGTGGCATTTTAGAGACAAACTGCATTATTATTATTATTATTATTATTATTATTATTATTATTATTTATTGCTGCTGCTGCTTGAGCTTTTGCTAGGCTTTGTATACAAGTAATTGTTTCTCTGGAACAATGGGAATGACTTGCTGCATTTGTAGCACTATAGTCCTGATGCAGGACTGATAGCTTTGTAACTGTAAAAGCATAATGAGAGAAGAAGCAGTGGGAGCGAGGATTGTCTCCCTGCAGGAAGAGAAAGCACAGTTCAAAAGTACTCTGGATATCTACATGTGTGGTGGGAAGGGTGTTATTTTTCATGCTGCTATCCAACAGGAACCCTTGACTGTCGCACCAAAGCATGCAAACACCTATCACAAGATTGCTTGTCACACCTCTTTGTGTGAAGGCTTTTCTGGGGACAGGTTGAAGTACCATAGGAACATGCTAACTCAGTTTAATCAGAGACCATGATGGGGCTCCAAAACTGAACTTGTGTACTTTCACCAGTACCCATTTGTCTGCACAATAAATCTGCAGTTGCTTCCCATCTGTAGCGTGCAATTTGCATGTCTTCCCTCAAGATAGCACTCATATTGCAGAGTTGTCACCTTTTCCAAACATTCACACCTCATGAGTGAAACATTGTGTAGCTGGGGACAGGTGGTAAATCCCTTGGATTATGCTTTAGTTGCTGCTGTGGTTGATGTGTGGAATGTGGTTGCACAAGTCCACCTATTGAATATTTGTCTGTGAAGTGATTACTGCAAGTACACCTCCACCCTATTCTTGACTCTTTTGTGAAACTCTGATTCTGTTATCCAGATAGGATAGGCTGTCCCATTTCTCCAACTTCTGTCTGGAAGTGCACATCTTACTAATTTTTTAAGTTTTAAGGGGTATTATTATTATTATCTTTCTATACTGTATTTGCATAAGGATGCCGTGACGCTGTAGTTCACATGGCTGCCAACAGATGGTGCTGTGAGTTCCAGAGTTACAAGAGAACAGCACGGCTACTGGAAGCCTTTCTTTTTCCCAGTGGCCACCATCACCAGGGGCGAAACAAAGCAGAGAAACCTTTCTCCTCTTTGTCCCATTGCTGCCCCTTCCATTACTCATGTGGAGAAAAGCTTCCTTCTTGGCTGCCATCGAGCACAAGCAATGAAGTCTAAGGAGAAAGGGGCGATTGGGTGGGGTGGGGTGGGTTGGGGCTGGCTAGTGAGGTGAAATAAAGCAAGCAGCCCCTAGTTAAAGAAATTTATAGGTTGCTTCATAGCATAAAGTCATCAAAAGGTGTACAAGATAAAATCAGAATAAAACACAGCAACAGAAGCTCTAAAAACAATAAAATCACTGCAACAAACTTGCAAAACAATAAAACCACCACTACAAACTCCCAAAACAGCAAAGCCATTTTTCAGTGAGCCCCTAAATATCGTGATACAAGGTGTCTATCTGATTTCAGCTAGCAGTTGACTCCAGAGAGCTGGAACTGCAACACTAAAAGCCCACTTTCTGGTACAAGGCATATGGTATTCTCAGCAACACACTGTCTGAGAAACACAATTGCCAGGTTTTGCCAGATATATTTGGTGAGGAAAACCTCAATCGGTGCCCAGTAGTATATTGGCAGCCAGTGGAGCTCCTTTAGCAGATAAGTTATATGGTGTGAATGGTGTGCCTCAGTCAACAACCTAGCCACATGGCCAGGATACTGCAGTATAGTTCTGCAGAGGTTACTTGCAGAAGTGTCCCCTGTTGGCTACAGCACATCTCTTGCAAGTTTGCTGGGGTGACATGGAAAGATATTCCCACAAAGAAAAGGGAAGTGGAGACAGCTAAGTGGCAGAGCACATGCTTTGCATGCACAGGTTCCTGGGTTCAATCCTTGGTATCTGTAGTTGAAAAAAGGAACTAGGTAGCTGGTGATGTAATTGGCTTCTCTCTTCCCAAGATTCTGGAGAGCTCTAACCCAGCAGAATAGGTATTATTATGCTAGATCAGGTGTGAGGAACCTTAGGCCCTCCAGATGTTGCTGAACTGCAACTCCCATCACCCCTGGTAATTGGCCATGATTGCTGGGTCTGATGGGAATTGTAGTTCAGCAGTACCCAGAGGCCCCAAAATTCCCCACCCCTGTGCTAGATGAACAATATTCTGACCTGCATTTCAAAAAGAGGTGTTTATTGGCTCCACCTGATGCTTCCTAGAGAGAGAGAGAAAAAATGAATACATTAAGAGGAAGTTTGGGAAGTGCTGTTTAAAGTACACCTCATACAAATGTAATGGTACAAGCCTATATTACTAGAGGGAGAGGCAGGCAGGCAGGCAGGCAGACACATTATAAACTTGCTGTGCTGAAGAAAAGGAAGGCTCATTCAACAATATAGCTCTCCTGCATTAGTGGCAAATGCAAAATGATGCTTTACATTGTTATTGAATGGTAATTGATTGGCTTGTTGTTCCTGCTGAGTCCGAAGCACTTGGAACGAAGTTCCATTGATTTTGGTGAGACTGACATACTTCCCAATGTAACTGAGATATAACAGCTCAGGGGCTGAATCACGCTAAATATCTTTTCTGGGGCAGGGGAGCTTGCGAAGCCCAGCAGCCCCATACTTAAGAGCAGAACGTCTGGAGCCATGGGAGCACTTCTCATAGCTTCCCACAGCAAGTAGGTTAGCATTGAAAAGAATGCAGAGAAACAACAGGGTGTTCCAAATTCATTAATCCACACCACCTTAATAATATCGGCCTAAATCTGTCCTAAATTTCATGGTTAGTGTAATATGCCGGTTTATGAGGCTCCCCTGGTGGTAACCCATGGAGGAGCCTTTTTGGTGTTGGCTCCGCATCTGTGGGATGGGTTCCTTGTTGAAGTGCATCCTGCCCCAGCCTTATATTCCTTAAATTGCAAGGTAAAAAAGAACACTATTTTTGGTCCAGCTTTCAGAGGTTGCTGGGCTAAGTCGTTTCAGTGATGCAATGAATTATGTTATTTATCATAATTATTTCCATGTTTCTTTTTATTGTGCATTATGTTTTTTATCCTACCTTGTTTTTGTAAACCGCTCTGTGACCATTTTTGGTGAAGGGCGGTACAGAAATCTCCTAATAAAATAAATAGAGCAATAAATAAAATAGGAAGAAAACAGGGATTTCAGGGATGTAAGGAAGACCCTGCAGGATCAGAACAAAGGCCTGTCCCAGGGAAGGTGAACCAGCAGTCTTCCAGATGTTGTTGTACTACAGCTCCCATCCAACCCCCATCCAACTCCAACATCTGGTGGGCTACAGGTTCTCCATCTTTGGCCAGTCTAGTCCAGCATCCTGTTTTCTTCCTTGACCAACCAGGTACATATGGGATGTCCGCAGGCAGGACATTAAGGCGGTCCTGCTGTTTCCCAGCAACTGGTATTCAGAGGAATACTATCCCTGATTCTGGAGTTAATAATCAGCCATCTTTACTAATAGCTATGGAATGTGATTTACCAGGAAGAGAGGTTTCTAGAAAATGTGGGACAAACAGGGATTGTCCCTATTAAATAGGGACACTTGGAGCATTTGCAAATTATCAGTATAGCTTTAGTTACATAAAGACAAAATCCTCCTCTCTGGTATTGTAAACCACGAAGCCAGCATATAAAAGACACCCCCAGTGACTGCAATCCTGGGATTTTTTTTGGGGGGGGGAATACTTTGGAAGTTTGCCAAAGCCTGATAATCTTGTAGACACAATGGAATCTATTTTTATTTAAGCAAGAATCTTGGAACTAGGCATGTGTGGACAAGGGTGACCACTTCTCTTAGGAACTTTCATAAGGCTAGTCTTCTGCAACCACATGACTGATCAGCAGCATTCACAGATGCTCCCTTAATGCTGCTTAAAAACTACCTGGCTGCTGAACTGGAGAGATAGGGACCAGAGGTGGCAACAGTGAAATCCTAAATCTCTCATTGCAGCAGCCAATATGGGCAGAAGGGCAGGTTCTCTGCACAGCAGATGCACTCAGATTGCACAGCCTTTTAGTGTGAAGTTCCTGGTGGTGACCAGGCTATCAGAGGGATGGCAAATTTGAGCTGGAAATAGCCAGAGCACAGTCAATGGTATGGAAAGAACAAAGGACCATCATCTGCCAGCACTGGGAAATCATTTGAGGAGTTTTGCAGTGCGAAGGAAAATGTGGCATGCAAGGAAATCTGTAAACTTACTGAAGTATAGAGTCAGGCTATATGACTCCTACTTTAAAAGTTGGTAATGCTTGATTGTGAGGTTATTTTGGATGCCTCTAACGTGGATATATGGTTTTAATTGCTGTTAGCTGCCCTGGGTTCCAGGAGGATGAAAGGCAGGGTATGAAAGCAACACCTAAGCGAAGAAATGCAAAAATTAAAGATGTTTGGGTTTTGAATACTTTGGTGGTCTCTTCTATCTTTAAAACACATGACTCCTTTGATCCTTTCAGGCAACACAAGGGTTCTCAGAGCACCATGCCGCATCACATCTCGGGCTTCCAGGCTGCCTACATCACCATCGAGGTGCTGATCGCCCTTGTCTCCATACCTGGGAATATCCTGGTGATCTGGGCCGTCAAGGTGAACCAGGCCCTGCGGGATGCCACCTTCTACTTCATCGTCTCCCTGGCCGTTGCAGATGTAGCTGTGGGAGCCCTTGTCATCCCGCTTGCCATCATCATCAACATTGGACCACAGATACATTTTTACAGCTGCCTGATGGTGGCATGTCCTGTCCTCATCCTCACTGAGAGCTCCATCCTGGCACTGCTGGCCATTGCTGTGGATCGCTACCTCAGAGTAAAGATTCCGATGCGGTAAGAGACAGCCACCCATGCCGGAGGGAGAAAATATTGCCAGAGGCGGAGTTAGGTTTTTTGGGGGAGGGGGTGTCATAGGAAGGTCATGTTGCACAGGGAGAAATCTGTGCTTCTTCTGTGGAGTCTAGTGGCTTTGTCAGGATTCTCAAAATCTCAAGGGCTTTCTCCCCCCTTCTTCTTCTTTTTCTTGAACCTGGTCCACTGAGGCATTTGCCAGTGAAGCTGATGCCTTGCCTGCCATCATTTGGGACCCTTGCTGGACGTTCTGCTGCAAGCCGTCAGCTTCTGCCTTGCTCTGACAAGTGAGAATGTGTACACGGCAGCAATGTTGTTGTTGTAATGGTTTGTGGACTGAGTAAGTGCAAGGAGGCCCTGCTTAGTTGTTCCTTAGCCTGTGCTAAGAGATAAAAGGGATCTAAGCAGCATAACAGGCTGTATTCCTTTAAATTATACAGCATATTGTACCTGCTTCGGGGGGGGGGGATGATGAAGGAGAAAATTGACTCAGTTCACTTTTAAAGGTGAACTGACCTATTTCACAGCTTCTGAAACAATATGGAAAATCAAACAGCTGTCCTTGGAAATTCACGCTTTTCAAAATTTTGCAGTTCCAACCAAACAATGTTCGCAAAAATGCATTTACTAAAGTGTGCATTAAAATGCATATGTTTGTGAAAATAACATACAAAATGCATTATATTTGGGGAAAATATTTTGCAAAAATGAATACAGAAATGTGTACGTACATTAGGATGAATTTGAAAAAAACAATTGCCTGGGAATTTTCATGAGGAATTTAAAAGAAAAATCACAAACTGAGGTGGAAATGTGGAAAACCGAGCTTAAGACTGGAAAAATGAAAAACTGAAACTGATGGATTCACTCATCCCTAAAATGGGCTGAAGTTACGGCACTCCTGTCTCTTAATTTGATGGGTCTGTTCTGAACAGAACTGACATCGGACGCAACCCTAAGTACCCCACGGGTGAGAAGTTGTCAACCCCATATTCCTGTCATTAATAATTACTCAACTTGACACAATGTCTCATGTATAGGACTGAGCTGAGGGTTGGCCCCAGGATCTTTCCGGAGGCTCAGCCTGCCCTCAGCTGCCTGTCTTCCTACTTACAACCAGTCCATGCAGTGCCACTGCCTGTCAGCTTCCTCCCCCTTAGTCTCCAGGTTGCCCTTGTGGATTCAGCAGAGATGGGGACGGAACTTTAATTAGTTGGCTCTGTCTGTCATTGGTTCTGACTCCTCCTATGGGGAGTCTCCCTGCCTGCTGCCTGGCCATTCCTGGTGGGCACCACCAGCCCCATTGCATTCCACATCACATGTCTTTAAATATACAGTGGTACCTCGGGTTACAGACGCTTCAGGTTACAGACTCTGTTAACCCAGAAATAGTACCTTGGGTTAAGAACTTTACCTCAGGAGGAGAACAGAAATCATGCAGCGGCAGTGTGGCGGCAGTGGGAGGCCTCATTAGCTAAAGTGGTACCTCAGGTTAAGAACAGTTTCAGGTTAAGAACGGAGCTCCAGAATGAATTAAGTTCTTAACCCGAGGTACTACAGATCTTCAGGCTGTGAGTGCTGTTGTTTATGTAGCCAGAACAGCTATTGGGGAGGACAGGGAGATAATAGCCCCCATGAGAAGTCCCCTCTGTGCTTCTCACAGAGAGTCCAGGCTAGAGCGTGAATATTTTAAATAACCCTTCGCTGATTGTGCAGTGTATTACGTGTTTAAGAGTAAATAATATAATTATCCTCACTTATGTACACGTTAATAACTATTTGCGCTGACTGTGTACTTAACTTATTACTAGCTTAGCCACTTTCCTTGGGGCTGGCAGAGGGCCCACCCCACATATACTTAAAGGTCACATCATCCCAATATGCCTGACTGCACGGCCTGAGCAGGCTGGGATTTGGGGCATCGTTTTCCGTGGCAGCAGAATTGCTGACTGCCACGTCTCAGCCAGGTGACAGCACAGAACAGCATGTGGAGCTGTTGGCTGTGCTGTGCTTCCACCCACACAGTTAGCGCAATATGCTCTAGCACCAGATCTCAAAATAGGATTGATTTTTTAAAAAAAAAAAAAGCATTTGGCTTGCAACTCAGCCACATAAGGGATCTTTGCTCACCCCCTTCATGAGGCTGAGAGTAAGGAAACCTTCCTCCTTGTGAAAGAGTAAGTCTAGCTGAGGCAATTTGGCTAGCAGAAATGTAAAAGCAACCTTTAAATACCTTTAAAGTGCTGTGGCACCAACTTTAACCAGTCATGGCTTCCCCCAAAGAGTACTGGGAGCTGAAGTTTGTTAAGCTGAAAGTTGCTAGGGATTGTTTGTTAAACCAAAAGGAGCATCTCCACCCCCATCATTCTGCCCGGACACTGGGGTCCAGCTCCAAGGGCCTTCTGGAAGTTTCCTCACTGTGAGAAGCAAAGTTACAGGGAACCAGGCAGAGGGCCTTCTCAGCAGTGGCTCCCGCCCTGTGGAATGCCCTCCCATCAGATGTCAAGGGAATAAACAACTATCTGATGTTTAGAAAACATCTGAAGGCAGTTCTGGAAGTTCCCTCACTGCGAGAAGCAAAGTTACAGGGAACCAGGCAGAGGGCCTTCCCAGGAGTGGCTCCCGCCCTGTGGAACGCCCTCCCATCAGATGTCAAAGGAATAAACAACTATCTGACGTTTGGAAACATCTGAAGGCAGCCCTGTTTAGGGAAGTTTGTTAATGACTGATGTTTTAATGTATTTTTAATCTCCTGTTGGAAGCTGCCCAGAGTGGCTGGGGAAACCCAGTCAGATGGGCGGGGTATGTAATAAAATTATTATTATTATTATTATTATTATTATTATTATTATTATTATTAACAATCTTGTGAGATGAATAGGGGCCTCCCAATAACTGCAAACCACAACTCCCATAATTCTTTGGAGAGAAGCCACGACTGGTTAAAGTGGTATTATAGCATTGTAATGGTATGTTGTGAATGTGGCTTGAAGTTGCCTATCAGTAGACAAAGCAGGCATATGGGCATAGCTGTCAACCTTCCCTTTTTTTGCAGAAAATTCCCTTATTCCAGCGCCATTTCCCGCTGCTTCCTGCTGCTATCCCAGATTGTTAGATATCCCGTAGACTGTCCCCAGGACAGGTGAGGCTGCTGATCCCTTATTTTCAAATCTGAAAGTTGACAGCTATGCATATGGGTCACCTGTCCACAGCCTTCCCCACTATGATGAAATGTGCTGCATTTCTTTTTAAATTATAGTAATAATTCCTAAATGTCTATCTACACATATAAATTAGCACAGGCAGGTTCATGCAAAACTGTGTCCACTTTTAGTTCTCTTTTTTTAGACAATGTATTTTTCCTATTTGTGGTATTGTGTTTGTGGCCCCCACCTTAAGGACGGTGCACATTTGTATGAACCAGTGATAAAGTGCATTCAGGAGAGCTATTTGTCTTCTGGTCCCTCTGCTGTGCTTTGGCATTAGTAGCAACAGAATAATTAACAGTTCAGCTGGTAGCCATATGAGGAGTGTTCTCCACAGCCAGGAGGAAGGCAGCCAGTGGTGTAGAAGCATTGCATAGCGACACTCATTCCCTTTCTCTCCTTGTTCTAAGCAAATAACTCTCTCCAACATCTCTGTTGGCTTCAGGCTGATTCAACACTTTTGCATTGTTCTTGGATTGTAAATTGAATTCTTAGCTCAAGTGCAAGGCTGAGTTGCACTGTATAGTACATGTAGAAGTGCTTGTAGCACATTGGTAGAGCATGTACCTTGCTTATAGAAATCCCCAGATTCAACCCCCAGAATCTTCAGGTAGAGCTGGGAGAGACCTCTCTCTGAAACTGTGGAGGTAACTTTGAAGATAACACTGAGCTAGATAGACTAATGGTTATCTGACTTGGGAAAAGTAAGCTTTCTATGTGTTGAACACATTTCGAAGCTTTCTATGTTTTTGACACATTTAGAACTCTCCCTCTCTCTCTCTCTCTCTCTCTCTCTCTCTCTCTCTCTCTCTCTCTCTCTCCAACTTCTCAATCTTTTTGCAGTAAAAAATATCCTCTTGATTAGGACCCCCTACTCTGTACTGATGGGACGCAGGTGACGCTGTGGATTAAACCACTGAGCCTAGGACTTGCCGATCAGAAGGTCAGCGGTTCGAATCCCCGCGACGGGATGAGCTCCCGTTGCTTGGTCCCTGCTCCTGCCAACCTAGCAGTTCGAAAGCACGAAGTGAAAGTAGATAAATAGGTACTGCTCCAGCGGGAAGGTAAACGCCGTTTCCGTGCGCTGCTCTGGTTCGCCAGAAGCGGCTGAGTCATGCTGGCCACATGACCTGGAAGCTGTACGCCGGCTCCCTCGGCCAATAAAGCGAGATGAGCGCCGCAACCCCAGAGTCGGTGACGACTGGACCTAATGGTCAGGGGTCCCTTTACCTTTACTCTGTACTGATCTTTTTGTAGCTGGGGTGTTGGCTCCCAAAAGTACAGCTGCTCCCTAAATGATAGAGTCTGGCATGGAGCAAAGCTGGTTCAAGGAGGAAGAGTAGCTGTACTATAGGAATCTAGTTATAAAACAGTAAATTCTGGGTTGGGGATTCCTGTTGGAAATAAAAGATTCTGAGATTAACAGATCAGGATGTGTGGCCCGGTCTGCTTTCCCCCACAACATAATCCCCAAACACAGGCAAGGATGCAGCCATACAGATGCATGCAGAGTTTTAAAAACCGTATCGTCAGTATGTCTCTAGGGTAGACTGGTGGAGAGCGTTTGGAGGGTGGGCTCCCTGAACGGGGACCCCACAGAAATGGCTGCAAGCTGGGAGAGGGCAGGTAGAGAATACTGCAAACACACTGTCTCCTTGCCCATAGGCTGATGGCAGGGTCCAAACAGATAAATGCCAGGAAGAGCTTCCCTGCAGGCTCTTGCGATCCAGGCAGCGGGACGGCTGCAGCTGCGGCACACTGGGAGCCCAGCTGCGA